AAGAGAGATTTTTTTTTTGACTTAATCAAATTGCCTTTAGATGTGATGGGTCAAAAATAAGATATGAGTGATAGATTAATAGTGAATATACATGATGTGATAGTTAGGGTAATTTATCTAGGAGTAAAAGGCCTTGGTTGAAACACCCTTTCGGATGGCTATTAGCACCTTTGACTGACTTTGACTTTTTAACTATTCGAATCTCCAAAACTATTGTTGTCTAATGGCTTTTTCACTTGGATGTTTGATCTGAAAAGCTAAAATCTGAAAAGTCAAGGGGAGTAGCTTTTTGACTTGCCTGTTAGAAAATTTAATGTTCTTAATCATTTTTTGAAAGATATTCAATAATGTATGTAAAAAAATAAAAAATAAAGTTAGAAAAATAAAAAATAAGATTTAAAATTTAAAATTTAAAAAAAACAAAATAAATGAAATGAGAAAATAAAAAATCATTTAAAGCATTATATATATATATATATATATATATATATATATATATATATATATATATATATATATATATATATATATATATATATATATATATATATATATAGACCTGGCAAATCGGTCGGTCAGGTCGGGTTTGGGTTCGGTCACCTTGGGTTCGGGTTACTTCGGGTTCGGTTAAGTTCGAGTTCGGGTTGATAACTACATGTTCATGACCCAGTGTCATCGGGTTCGGGTTGACCCAACGGGTTATGAGTTTCATTTATTTTTTGAAATTTTAAGTAATTTTTATGACTTAGTGTCAATATTAGGAATAAAAAAATTAAATATGTAGAAATTTTGAAAAAATGTAAGATAAGTATGCGACATCATTAGAATTTGTTATGATGCTATAAATTTATACACAAAAAATGAGTAGTAAGCAAAGAAATATAATCATAATCTTATTTTTATAACACTATATTTCATATTAAAATGTATGATTCTGAAAAAATCTTAGATTAGTGGGTCGGTCAGGTCGGGTTCGGGTTCGGTCGGGTTTGACCCATTTTTAGCGGGTCACTTCGGGTTCGGTCAGCAAAACCTTTGTTCAAAACCCAGTATTTTCAGGTCGGGTCTCGGGTCAAAAACAGGTCGGGTCATTTTTTGCCAGGTCTATATATATATATATATATATATATATATATAGGTTCAAGTGAGAATGCGATCTTATGAAAGAAATAAGAATGAATCTAGTGTTTTAGATTATGAGATCTAAGGGTCAGGATTGCATCAAAATTAGGTGCACCAAAATGATTTAAAAATGCATCATGTCGAAATGGACCAAAATCCTTTAAAAATGCACTAGCTCAAAATCTAATTGCAGGATGCAATCTGAGCCGCACGATACATCAGATCCAAAGGCTAAATTTTATTCTTATTTCTTTCACCGAGGTGCATTCTCACCTGAACCGCCCTATATATATATATATATATATATATATATATATATATATAAAATATGTAATCTTTATATAACTATTTTCAAATAGCTAATTTTATCAAATATTTTTAACGATCGGCTAACAGATCCAGCAGGGCAAACCAGCTAAACTAAACGGTCATTCAGAACAGTTGATACAAACAGCTGACAACCAAAATCCAAACAAGGCCAAAGTGACTTTAGAAAGTTGAAAGATTTTAGGATATGTAAGATGTGTAAGTAGAAATGTTTTGTGCGACAATCGGATGGAGGGAGTACAATATTTGGATGGTTTTTATATATATATATATATATATATATATATATATATATATATATATATATATATATATATATATATATATCCAAAATTTGATTTTTCCCAGTTTTTAATCCAACACTTTAAAGTTTAAATATCAATATTTTTATTTATAAATAGATATTCACGATAATAATATAAAAATATAATATTTCAAAATGAATTTAATGTTATTATTAAATTGATATCATAATTCAATGCGTTCTTTAAATAATTTCTAGTCAAAGTATAAATTTATTGACTATTAAAATCAAATTCAAAAAGATCAAATTAAAGTGGAGGGAGGGAGTATAAATTTTGTCTTGAATTTCAAAATAAAGTGTGCACCCTCTATTTCTTTTCCTTCCAAAAAAAATATATTTAAATCTCTTATTTGATTTTAATCCCCCCAACATAGAGAGGAACAAGTAGTCCGAAAATGAGGTTATTTGTCCTCCACTTTGTTCCCCTCTCTCCAATCCTTTGACTTCCAATTTTCACTCAAAGCTCAATTCACATTTGCGTGGAGTCTCCTTATCGGAGTCTATGTTTTGTCGCGCACTATTTTAAATTAGAGACTCCTTCCACCAAATCAATGTTGCGACTCTTTTTTCTTTGTCTCTTTCTGATGGAATTTAGGATGTGTATGGATAATTGGATTGGGCAATAAGACACTTGAGTTGAACCACATTAAAAGATTGAATCCAATCGATTAGTTAATTCAACTCAACAGCTTATATATCAATTATTTTGTTCTTGAACTTCTGATGTGGGATGACGCTCTAACACTTGCTAAGTCGTGCAATAGCAACAATAATAACAAATTCAGTAAAATTTTACATACTGTAACATGTAAATTGTATCTGTACCCATACGAAGACCTTATTGCTACTAAAAGAAACTTTTCACTCAGGCAAAATAAAACCAACCAAATAAAGCAAGGAGCACAAACAAAATAAGAACAATGCAATCACAAAGAGCAATAAGGACAAAGAGAGTGAACTTAGACAAGGAGCACACAAATCGCAACAATTTTTTCAGAACATCCAAGAGTATATATCACACAAAAGTTGAATCCCAACCTCTCGGTATTTGGTATTTGTCAAAAGAATAGGCTAGGAGGATCGAAGGTAAATGAAATTATAACTTTAGTATAATCAATCTAAAGTGAGGTCCGGTACATATACAAGAACCTCATACAAAAGATGATCATTATTTATCGTCGTTGTCAGGAATCAAACCCAAATTTATACTAACACTAACTGATCCGAGTAGTACAACATCAAAAGCCAACATGTCTGGGAAATGGTATGTAGGACATCTATGGATGAGTCAACTCGGTCCCCTGCACCAGGTTAATAACAAAGAGTTTGAAAGATGTTTATTAAAGCTAAGTGGTTATCATAATTATTACACTTTGTGCTGCGTGGTCCACTTAACTACGACATTAAAACAGTGCTACCAAATCTATCATAAATTTCGTACAACTAATTTTCAAGCAAGACTTAGAGCATGTAAAAAACTGGAATGTCACACGTTGACGTGAATCACGTGACACATTTCATCCAATCAGAGACAAACCCAGTCAGCGTGCGGAGAATGAGAGGAGTGACAAGCGATGCAGTGGCAAGTCAGTGTGTTTATCATTTTTACATTTTATGATATATTTTATCTATTAAAATTATTTTGCTTATCTTTTTTTTAATAAAAATAGATATACTCTTTTAAATAAATTCGTGTAGCAAAAAAATTAAAATTGAAGATGCCTCGCCACGCTGAAGGAGGATGGAGGCTGAGGTGGCAGGCCCTTTACCCCTCACACTATTTTATACTCCGTACTTGGCATTAATTGTCCATTGTGACATTTTAAATACATTGAAGAGTAAATAAATAGAATATAAAGATATAATACATAAAATAAAAAGTCATGATGAACAATAAATATATATACTACATAAAATAAAAAGGAGTACTTAGCTTATATGTTCATTGATATAAAAAATATTCACTAATCCAAAGTAAATGATGTAGTGCAATATTTCTATACGTACCGTTGCATGATAAAACTATAGTTTGACACACAGTACAATTGTTAGCTCTAATGATATACGGAGTACGTACAAATTAAAGTACTACCACATGGTCATAACCTTAATTAATTTTTCTATCTAGTCATTGGTCAACGTAAACTATTTGGGCGATGTTACCTTTCAAATTTCATACTATTTGAATACTCCCTACCTCTCAAAGTCATTGTCATATATGGTTTGATTTTTAATTTGTAGCTTCTTGGATCACATATTAAATATAACTATAAATAAAAGATGATATAAAAATTTGATATATCAAAATTAATTTTAAAACGAATCTAATTATATTAAATTTATATTTTGACTAAATACAATTTTTTCACTATAATAATAAACTAGCTAGAACGATAATTTTAGGAATGGATGAATATTCAATTATTATTGTCTACATTTCAGTTTATATATGTAAGATTTACACTAAATAAGACTAACACATAAGTCATTTCCTAATGTATGATTTAAATTTTTTTATTTCTTCTTAAATACTCCAGTGATGGTGAATATTTAATGTCTAGTGGGAGGAATATATATTGTCCAATGATGGTGAATATTTACTTGAATAATGACCAATGAATAATGACCAATATAATGATGATCCTACATTATGATGATCCTACATTGAGAAAAAAAATTAAAACATATGATCCTATATTGAGAAAGGCTTTTAGTCATATTTAGTGCAAACATAGAACCACAACATTAATAATATAATCCATTATATATCTGGCCTCCATCATATATATATATATATATATATATATATATATGTATGTATGTATGTATGTATGTATATATATATATATATATATATATATATATATATATATATATATATATATATATATATATATATATATATATATATATATATATATATATCACATCATGTCTCACCCATTTTAATTTCTTGTATGTTGTCTATAAATACTCAAATCACTTTGAACCCTAATCACCATGTCCACCATATATATATGCATACTCATCCTATACATGCATGCATGAGTATTAAAGACATGTTAGAGAAATCAATATCATATGTATTGTGAGTCATACCAAAGGAAATAAAGAAAAACAAAATGAGCTCATCATCATCATCATCATCATCTTCATCAGTCGCCGTCTCAATCCCAAATGATGAAGATTGTCTCAAGAATAATGCCCCAGACATAGAACAACAACAACAGCAATGGAAACATGATCAGCGCGAGGAAACGTTCTCTGGGTCTTCTTCTTTATTCGTTTCGTCCATGAAGGACACAAAGATGAAGAAGAAGATGAGGAAATGTAGTAGTGAGTATGAGAAGAGAAGAAGAAGAAGAAGAAAGATGGTGCACAGCTTCAAAGTTGGGGTGGCCTTGGTGCTAGTCTCACTCTTGTATGTTCTTGACCCTCTCTTCCATCAAGTGGGCCAAAATGTCATGTGGGCCATCATGACCGTCGTCGTCGTTTTCGAGTTTTACGCAGGTTTTTTCTTTTACTAGAGAGAGTATTTCTTATGAATAATAATAATTCATGATGATAATAATAATAAAATTAGGGTTTTACTTCTTTTTTTTTCCAGGTGCAACAATAAGCAAGGGCATAAACAGAGGGATTGGGACAATACTTGGGGGGTTATTAGGATGTTTGGCGGCCTTTATAGCCCGTAAGTTGGGAGGCTTCTTACATGGTACTATTGTCGTCGCCATTGCCGTTTTCATTGTAGGTCAGCAGCCACCATTCTTAATTGTGAAATTTCTCTTCTTAATTACTCCCTATTCTATTTTATCTAAACAAAAAATCTTCACATTAGTAGATGCATTCAAAATTGAAATAATTTAGTCCCTTTATTATTTCTTTTAGGTACAAAAATAGACTACTTTTAACATTTCTTAATAATATATATACTCTCTCTGTCCCGAAATTGACCATCTGTCCTAAAATTAACTTTCCTGTCAAACTTTTTAAATTTAGACCGTATAATACAGAAAAAATAAATTGAATTTTTATAGAACTAATTTATTTTGAAACATAGTTTTTAAATATTTTAATTTCATAATATACATTTTTATATAAATAGAAATTTTGATAGTCAAAGTGTTGCATTGGAGCAATTTTTTATCTTACGTCTCGGTAACTTTTTTTATTTGTAGTTTTTATTAATTATTTGATAAAAAATATTTGTGTCACTTCTTGTTTTGTGTATGTAATTAAGTCTTTTTTTTTAAATTCTCATACGAATTTTTGAATAAAATAATTTAAAAAGATACCGGGTTTTAATTATTTCATAATACGAAAATGAGGTAAACGAAGAGAAAATTCAGAGTTTTTTCAATTCATTTTATTTAAAGATTGAGACAAAAGTAAAGAATAAAATCTACATATTTAAAAACTGCATCAAAAGTTTTACAAAACAAGAGACGAATAGTATTTCATTTTATCAAATGATCAATGAAAATACATAAATAAATAAAAGTTATTGTAATTTTAAACGTGGGGAATGGTGAATTAATATGTATGGATGGGGGTGCACTAGGTGTGGGGGCAACGTACGTAAGAATGATGCCGAGAATAAAGAGAAAATATGACTACGGGGCGTTGATTTTCATATTGACTTTCAACTTGGTGGTGGTGTCGGGTGTGCGGGCCGACAAGGTCATTCTCTTGGCCCGGGACCGCCTGTCCAATATCGGAATGGGCTTTGCGGTCTGCGTCCTCACCAGCCTGCTTCTATTCCCCCAATGGGCCAGCGACCAACTCCACTCCTCCACCTCTTCCACCTTTCTTCACATCGCCTCTTCTCTCCAAGGTAAACTTATTTGAATCTCTTTCTTTTCTATTTTTCTCCATGGTATAAGTATATTGAATTGTGAGATAAATAAATTTAATGTCGATAGAATTATTTCGGCATGTAGTTTTAAAGTCTCACATTTTTATAATTTATGAATACCTACAAGATATTAATGGTCAAAGTGTTGCATTGAAAATCATTAAAAACCAAATGAGAAGGACGGAGGGAATATATATTCTTTCTTTCTTTTAAAGATATTCTAATAAATCTAATCTAACCTACTCCATTTTTTCTATGCCCTCTCCATTTTTACATTTTCCAAATTCTACTTGTTTCAAATGTCGCCATTTTTCCTTTGTCAAATTTCTATTGTTTCTCTCATTAAAGTCAAAACTAGAGAAATTTTGTGTGACGGAAGAAGTATAATTTTAATAAATAGATGTTATAATGATTTGATGTATCAAGACTATATATTAAAATAAAATTAATTATATTAAATTTACATATAACTAATAAATATACTTTTTTTTAAATATAATGTAGGGTGTTTGGACGAGTACATGGCGATTTCGGATGAGAAGAAAAGCGGAGAAAGTGCCGACGTCAGTGCTTGCAAACGTATCTTGTATTCTAAGGCCAACGACGAATCTTTGGTAAGTGCTTAAGTACATAGTCCAAAGTCAACTAAATCTTGTAGCATGTAATTGATGGGGATGGGGTATGTTCGGGCCGGGCCGGGGGTTGAGGGTTTATCGGGNATTTTGAAATGGAGCATCGTATGAACCTCTATCATGGGAACGAAGGTGTGTTAATAACGTAGTGCAGCATTATTATTATTAATTATCATTATCATCATCATCATCATTTGATGAAAACCGTTTTTTCGGGGCGTCGACCCGACGAACTTGGTATCGGGTCGGTACCACACCGCATAGCGAAATTTAATAAATAAATAAATTAAACGGGTAGAAAGTATTTATACGTGGAAACTCAAATCGGGAGAAATCCACGGGCCTTTTTAGGCGGTGTCATGCTAATGGGAGGAACCTTTATTAATCTCGAGAGAATTTACACATACATCTTTGTAGAAATTTAGAGCCATTAGTGGAACTCTAAACTTAAAGGGAAGAAGAATTATAGCATTATGAGCTCTCTCTTGAATATCTAGGAATTGGTCTCCTAGGAGAAGAATGGTCTCACCTCTCTTGGGAATGACCTCCCATCTTAAAGGGAAGTTAGCATATCACATCGGGCCCCTCCTCTATGTGATACTCACATGGGTCTCATGTGGGAGTGTTTATCACGGGTCCCACTTAATATTTACATATAACTTCAAATTATCTTCTTCGGCTCATATTTCTGGCTCCATCTTGAATAGTTTATCTGATTTGTATATTTGGCCACACTGAATTGAGCTTGTACTGTTAAAATAATATTGGATTAGGTATGGACAATCCCTAATCCATCATCATTACTATTATTCAGGCAAATTTTGCAAAGTGGGAACCTTGGCATGGGAAATTTGGGTTCTCCTACCCATGGGATAAGTATATGGAGATTGGAGAAGCACTACGAGAAGTTGCTGCCATTGTTATTTCACTCAAAGCTTGCATTATTCGATCCATGCAACAGGTAATTAATTAATTAATATGGATCTAGTCATATATAAATTAAATAGGTAACCAAAATTAATTATAATTAGTTCACATATATGCTCTAAAATAAAATAGTCAAAATACTTTCTCCATCCCAAATAATCTTTTCTCATTTGACAGAAGGGTTTGTTTCAACAATTTTTCTTTATGCTCAAACACGAAAAAACTAGTGTAAAAAACAATTTTTTGAAGTTGAATGTGCTTTTAATCAGTTCTAATTGTTTTTGTTAAAATCAGCAGCCATTAACCCCGACACAACGAGAAACGGTGAAAGAGCACAGCGAAAGAGTGGGTTTAACGTTGGTGTGGGTTTTGAGAGAGATGGGAGAGAGCATTAAGGGCATGAGATTAATGTCCACAACCAATAATCATAATAATCATAATCATAAACTGAAGTTGTCTCCGACAAGCATTACTATTAGTAATCCTCCCAACTTGTTGGAGCTCATGGAGCAAGAAGACAAAGACAACCTCGTTCATGCTGTCATCACGGCGACCTCGTCGGCGGCTTCAGAACAGCTAGGCATGTCGAGCTTCGTTTTCATGATGAACGAGATGTCGAAGAGGGTCGAAGCGTTGGCGACGAAGGTGGAGCAACTCGGCGACATTGCCGAATTTCGCAGCGCCGATGACAAGCTAGCAGAAGTCTGATTGTAGTATGTGTGTAGTCTTTCTTGGTTGACCTCAAAAGTCAAAACATACCGGCCAGGTGGGATAATGGTGGGGCCAGCCGGGAGACAAATCACCGTAAGAGCCCCACATCGGTCTCAAAACCGTTGTCCGACTCTCATATTCCACCATCCAGATGTTGTTACATAGCACAAAAATCTGAAATAACATTTTTTGGGACAAGGGATCTATTCTTGGAGAGTAGGTACCAACTACAAGTCTACAGTGTTCAATATATAATTCCAAGACAATTATTATCATTATTATTATTATTTATGCACAATGAGTTTTTTGGGTAGATACATATATAGAGTATGCATCAGTGTATGTATTATGATGATTATAAATGTGGTAACTTCTAGCGTGTAAGTTGACATTAATATGCAAATGAAATGCTGGAATTGAAAGACAAATCTAAAACATAAATGAATGAATAATAATAAAAATAAAAAGATGGGAATTCTGGCAAATATTCAACCTTCTTTCCATACTGACTAAACGTAACACAGAAAAAGATGTCATGGGGAAAACCATGTAACAAATGGATGTGGAGATGCTATGAGCCTAAAACTACTCTATAAGTGTGTGGATTTACAAAGTGGTAATGAATGGATGAAACCTTTCATCAAAAATGTCAAAGAAAACCCAGTGACAAGTCTATCTGCTGCACCAGCATTATTCGCGCAAAAACTCAAAGCCCTGATGTTCAAGGAGTACTGCAGCAGGTTTTACACCAGTAAAATTGATGTCTCTAAGAGAACGACTGAGCTCCTCAACTGCGAATGGAATACTGCACAATTTTTTTTTATTTTATAAAAGAAACAGGTTTTTTTACAGTAAAGAAACAAGTGAATGATTGGAAGAAGAGTTCCATTTTTCTAGGAATGACTATTGTTATTTGATTTGTACCTTGAATTGTCGTCCAAAACAAAGGAGTGATTCTCGGTATCATCGGAGTTCCCTTCTGATACTAGGACCTTGATGCTGGCAATTACCTGGTGCAACGTGCAGGGTTGTCCACAGCATAAGAATGAACAAATGTAATTAGAAAATGGGCTTTTGCGAATGTGAAACGTTGTCATTCTTGATGATGTTTTTAGCTTTGTGCTGAATCAAAATGTCACATTTTAAGACATTGATCTTGTTTGGGAACAGCTTTTTCGATTAGCGTTAGCGTTTTGGATAAAATTTTAATGGTGTGGATTAATTCTGAAAACGCTAACGCTAAAGGCTACTGTCACATAGCCTTTTCAAAATGCTAACGCTAATCTCTAGCGCTGATGCCAAACGGAGCCATTGTTATTCTTGACGAAATATCAAGGGTCTATAAAATGGCCTCCATATTTTAGAGGGCTGCAAACAGCATGATTACCAAAGGAGTTGGAATTTGTTGTATTTATGCAAAGATGGATAGAAGGGAGAACTCACATCTGCTGATACACTTTCAGTGTTGTTGCTGTCATCCCAGCATAGCATGCATAATCTGTAGAGCTGTTGACTGCTCAGAATCTGGAAACATGTAATACCAGAGACACGGAATTGTCAAGATTCAGTCATATGCTCGGCAAAATAAATGTTGCAAAATTTAAGCCAAACAGGGTTACGCGCGGCTATTTTCGGGTCTATATATCAACGTGATCTAATAACAGTTTGGGATGTTGCGAAATGATAGACGTTCAACTAAGTAAGACGAATATTTTGATATATTATATGCCAAACATGATTAACAAATTTGATGGATACTACATATGGGGTTATAGAGAGAGAGAGAGAGAGAGAACATGCTTTAGAGAGAAAATGCTCAAATTGTATTATGTCAGAATGAATGTGTCTCCTCCCACAAGCTGGGAAGGGGTATTTTTAGACAAAGATGAGTGCATGTAGGCAAAAAGGCCTAACAACCTTTGTTCAATTTCTTTTCAATGTTGTTCTATCTCTAAAAAAGAGAGATTCTGAACATGTTATGGTTTCTATTTTCTGTCAGATAATGACATAATCTCAAGCTTTCACCCAAGATGGAAACACTCAGGTAACAAAAACAAAAAAGAAGAAACAAGAACAATCACAAACAAACAGAAACAAAAAAGCAGAAATGCTTACAGGGCACAAGTCAGTTATAAGATCATCATAGGTGATTCTTGCCTTATGATGCAGAACCTGCAAATGAATAGTACTCCCTAAGTTTCTATTTATTTAATTGCCTTTCATCCTTAATCATGGTTTTTGAAATCAAATGGTGTTATATATGTAAAGAAATCATCCTTCAAATAAGATATTCCTCCATTACCAATGGACGGATTCACGCAACTAATGGACTAAATCGTAGTGACTCATTGAACTTCCTTTGCCTTTTTACTTTCTATGAAGTTTTGGGAAGTACATATTTTTATTAAAAATATGAATTAAGTGAGTCAAAAACTGCTGAGAAAAAAGAGAGAGAGAATAGATACCAAGAATCCAACTGCCTCCCTTATATGTCTCAGCTCATCCCATGAGGAGCCTACAAACTGCAACAAAGACTTTTCAATAAAGCCATACCAACAAAAAGCATGGAGTTGTCATTTTGAAATAAAGTTTAAAGATATAATAGCATGACCTAAACATATAGATAGCACTATGCTTATTCATTAGAATAGTACCTCTTCTTTTGTATGTCTACACCAAAGTTCTAATTCATCTAACCCAGCTTTTATATGTTCACCATTGTTGAAAGTACAGCATTCTTTTTGAAGGAGGATGCTGGAGCAATACAACTAACCCTGTTAAGTTACAGGAAGTGTAGTATTGAACCAAAATAAAGTATATATGGGATAATGAGAAAAGATACCTGTTAAATAATTGTACATTGATATAAGAGAAAATTTGGATGGTCATATTCTGCACAAGAATTTGAGGTACCTGAAACAAACTTATATTCTTATATGACTGTTTATATGACATTGGTAGATCACATGATGATGTGGGAATGCTTTCATACATAATTTTCATTCAATATATTGACGAGCCCATTAAGATTCTCAGCAATGCTTTGCCATGGGTTTCCTGGAGAGCTTCCACTGGATTCTGTAGGAGCCTAGATATGATAAGAGGAAAGAAATTAGACATCAGAAAATTACAATACAAAGTAGGGGACAAGCTAAGGGTTTCAAAACTGAAGAAAAATTGTATGCATAAAAGCTACGTGAAATTAAATGAAACAGACTCTATAGACTATAGCCACACTACACCTTGAAACTACAATCACTCAAAGTATTTAGGGAGGTGGAGACAAAGCTAAATTGAAAGGGACAGAGTATCAACCATGCAGATTCCTTTACACTCTGTTTGGTTTAGGGAATTATGAGGGAAAGTAAAATGCCAAGAAAAAGAAAACAAAAGAAACCCAAATCTTGTTTGGTTAGTAGAGAAATTAAAAAGGAAATTACTTTCAATGACATTATTTTTTTCTCAAGAGGACATGGTTGTGTGTGTGTGTGTGTGTGTGTGAGAGAGAGAGAGAGAGAGAGAGCAAGTTGACCAAAGGAGAAGAGACGTAGACATAGAAAGAGTCATAAGTCCAACCTACAGTTTTCTATCCCTTTCCTTATCAAAATGAAAGGTAAAAGACTTTTCCTTTTTTACTGTATATTTTCCTCACCTTTTCTTTCCTTCCAATTTTCTTTTCCAAAATCTTTTCATTGTCATTCTCATTACTTTTCCCTTCCAGATTCTTTGAACCGGACATAGAGTTGGTAGAAGATATGTTATTTTTTGAATAAATCTAACAAATAAAGAATGGTTCCCAATTCTACTCTACTAATACCTTAATAGAAAATTAAAAATTAAGTTGGATTTGATTTGAAGGTATATAAGGTTTGATGTATTAAAGACAAACCACACACACAAGACAGATATATCTTTGATTCCACATACATTGTAGTAAACTGCTATAAGAAGAGTGGCTCACTTTGCTAAAGGGCAACAGAAAAAGAAGTCAGCACACAATGATTCTAATAATAACATTGAAGAAACTTTAAAATGTGAATAGTTACCTGGATACATGAAGAAAGTAATGAAGACAATTCCTTTTTGTGGTTCTCTCGGATGATTCCATAAATCTTCTCGACATAGGCAGTGAGCTGTTGCTTGAAAAGCAAAGCAGGATACTTTGCTTCAACCTGGCGGATTCCATCCAGCCCACCAACTGAGAGATTGGCTGAAGAAAGAGATGACCTGCTGAACATCCTTCCAAAAAAAGTTGTTGGTTGGGGGGGTTTGCTTGGGGTGGAAACTGTATTAGCTCGTAGTGTATGTTGTAGAAGAAATAGTAATACAGATGTGTTTGACAGCCAATAAGCCATGCACTTGTTGTTTGACTCATCCTATGAGAGAAAAAGTAAATTAAATAGAAGAATTCAAGTTGGAAACATGCATGGGTTCTAATTAACCATAAAAAGTTATGTGCTTGGGAATGGGATCAATGCAACTGTTTGGACGTTGGAGTTACTATAGCGGATGAGTGGGCTGTTGCATGCAAAGAAGATGAAGCATTTGTAGGATGAGCAGTATGAAAAACTAAAAAAAGACTAGAAAGAATTTATGAGTTCTCCTAAAAATGCCTTTGTAGCTGTTTGGTGTTTTTATTCAAGTCTTGCTTACTTGCTTATTACTCCATCCATTTCATAATACTGATCCCAAATTGAATTTCACGGTCTCCGGTACAACAGTTTGAACATTATTATGTGTAACTATATGCAATAAATACACTAAATGCAGTATATTCTAAAATAGTACAATACTTCAAAATGAATATACTGATATTAGTTTCACAATTCACATTATAACATAATGTGTTTTTAACACAAATCATAGTCAAATTTTGCAATGTTCGACTACCGACTTCAATGTGGGATGAATATTATGAAATAGAGGGAGTATTACTCAAGGGTTGCTTGTAATTAGTGTGGGTTAGTCTTAATGTTGGGTTGTTATCATCTCATGTTTTCAAAAGTAACCAATATAACCATGCTTGTGTGTACACACTTAGCAGATCACGATTCACATTGTGTATCTATTTTTAGGGATTTGTAAATTGTAAATGCTCTCTATTCAAGATTCACGGTCAAGTTCTGGGCTTTAGATGACTGTACCTCATGTCCTCATTCTTCAAACGTGTGAATACACCTACTCCCCCTCCCAGAAAAAGAAAAAGGAAAAGCTTGCCCTTTGCAAAAAAATTACTATAAGGTGGCATAAGTTTTGTTGTGAAGACTTAAAGGTCCTCTTATTTTTCAAAAATACTCCAAAGCCATTGAATTTGATTGTAAAGATTTATAGGGGGTCTTCTGGGGCTAGCATCTCAATGATCGGAAAACAATTGATCTGGTTTCCTTAAAATTAGTATATTTCCCATTATGCCCTTAGCAACAAAAATAGTGTATTTTTTAATGCCTTCTAATTTCTTTCAGCTATTTCCATTTTTTCTAAAATCTCCCAATCTCTTCCAACAAAGTCTTTAAAAAAATTATTTAGATGTATTTTCATATATTATTATTATTATTATTTCAATAAAATAAAAAATTAGTTTAATGTCACAATTCATAAAAAGTATGGGAAGGGGTAGACCTAGGAAGAATTGGAAGGAGGTTGAGATGGTTTGGCCATGTGAGACGGCGGGATGCTGATGCGAGAGGATTACGGTTATCGGGGGAAGTAGGGGAAGGGGTAGACCTAGGAAGAATTGGAAGGAGGTGATTAGACAGGATTTAGGACTTCTCAACCTGACTGAGGATATGGCCCTAGATAGGAACCTTTGAAAACTAAGATTAGAGTAGCTGGATAGGAGCTCGGTGTTGTAGAGGTTGTTTTGTAGTGTGTTGTGTTTGTTTGGAAGCTTCTGCTTTTGCTTGTACTTGGTGCTTTATCTGTGCTATACTGTGTTCCCTTCTATATTTTTGTGCAGGTGGAGGGGTCTCTTGGAAACAGTCTCCCTACTTCCTAGTAGAGGGAAGGTCTGCGTACACGCACCCTCCCGAGACCCTACTGATGTGGGATTCAACTGGGTTGTTGTTGTTGTTTTTGTTCATAAAAAGTTATCCTCAAAAAATCATATGATTTTAAATGCAAGGGAGGAGCTCAAGAGTATTGATAAATCTTTATCAAAAGGCATTTTGGGCATTTTATTCTTATCAAAATGTCGGCACCGGACTGTCCGTTTTAAGCCTTTACAATTAAATTTAATGGATTTTGAATATTTTTGAAAAAATTGGAGGACCTTTGAGTCTTTACAACAAAACTTATGTCACCTCATAGGAATTTTTTGCCAAGGCTTGTGTGGATATACACAGTTCTTTTTTCTAAGTTGGAAGAACATGGCTCAATGAGGTCACACATGGTTGGTCCAGTATATTTCAGTACAGGTTTTTGATGATAGATCAACACTGTTTAAAGCAACACAAATAAAAGATCAAAATTCCCCAAAATGTATGCATCATTATGCATCTTGAAACAAAACTGACACCTGTTTCCCAAAAAAAGGTTGAAACAAAACTGCCATCTGGAGCATAGCCATCATATTTTGTGCCACGGTGTTCTCGTGTTGCAAGCTAGGACTGCCCTGGCATCATATTAGGCTATCTCTATGAACTGTGATTTGGGAGTCCAATTTATTGCAAATATTACTGTATCTCTTAGAGAAATGATTGCATCTTATTAAGGTGATTGTATATATAGTCAAATGTGGATCAGTAGGGGTCACCCATTACGATGGGCTCTAAGTCTCGAACACCAGATATTTATGAGCCTGGGGATTGAGATTGTGTCCGTGGTCATTAGGTTAAAGGGTGAAGTTGTTTGGAGCTTTCTATGGTGGAAGTGTGGGTTATGAGCTATGGCATGCAAATAATATGAGTGATGAATGAGTTATACGAAAATTTGATGACTAAAGAATAAATAGATGTAGTTGAGTTCTCCTCAATCTCCTTTTGCTAATTATTTGAAGGAAAAAGCAATACTCCAAAAAAATTCTGATTTTACAAGAATACTCCGAAAATCAATTAATTACACCATTACTCCCACAATTGCTCTATTTTTACAGTAATATCTACATTAATTTTTAAACTGATGACTTGGAAAATAAATCACTTTTTCAGTTTTCATATAAAAAAATTACTTATTCTTCCTCCAACTCAAATATCATTCTCTTATTTTAAGAGTTTGTTCTTTTGGGTTGGAAAATTTAACTTCCAATTTTTTCTAACTCTAATTTTTTCCAAGTCTTTACAGTTTTTTTCCAACATTCAACTTTAGAATTCTAACCGAAAATGGCATGCCCTAATTGTGAGGGGCGTGATTGATATTTGAGTTGGAGGAAGAATCTGTAATTTATTTTTTATGAAAACCAAAAAAAGTAATTTTTTTTCTTCAAATCATCACTTTAAAAATCCATTTAGATATTACACAATTTTATTGTGCAAGTAAGGTGGTGGGTGGAGTATTTTTGTAAAAAGAGAAATTTTGGAAGTAATGGTGTAATACTGTAATCAATTGATTTTTAGAGTATTCTTGTAAAATCAGAAATTTGTCGGAGTATTTGGTGAATATTTCCTTATCTGGAACATTTTTTTGCTTGATTTTTATTCAATGCTATCCTCCTATTAAATTGAGAGACACGATTAACCCCCC